ATTGAGCGCATGTTATTTTGCAAACGAGACCGGTGCATGCAAACGACAACGGCTATTGCAGTTTGTGTCTGAACGGTGTCCCATGGACAACGTTCGATCCTCTGGGTAGTCAGCTCGTTCGAGACTAGAGTGCAGCTCAAAAACGGGTGTGGTTAGGGGCCTGGGCTCTGAGGAATGAATCCCGAGTCATGTTTGTGTGTTCAACCTTTTGTTCAATAGTAGGGCTCGTGAAGAGCGTTCTCCGCGAAGGAGATCTTTCCTACGGTTGAGCTTTTGTGTTGGTCACATCCCCCTTTCCTGCCTGATTTGACTGTTCGAACCAGGGAGCTACGCCCCCATGCCTGTAGTCTCCCGAAGGAAAAAGTGTGCGCGCGGCTTTTTCCTGAATTGTTCAATCACACGAAAGCTGAACAAGCGACCGACAGTAGCGGCGGTGTCTAGAGAGTGAAGCAGATTATTTTGAAAATTGACAGTGGCTTTTGGAGGAGAAGGCTGAGAAGGTTCTCCAGCCAGCAGCTTTGGTGGCCCAGCTCGAAATTTCAGGAACAAGAAGTTGTCTTCCTCTTGAAGGTTGTGAAGCATGCGCATGTGGGAATTGTTTGCCAGTTTGCAGTCCTAGGATTCACGGACATGTCACATGTCATTCTTGGACTAAGGTACTTGAGAGCTCTTGAGGATGTAATCTTGTCTGGGGGGCCCGGACAGGCGGAGCAGCCAAAATCGAACAAGAAGGATTCGCTCCAATGGTTGCATTCAAGGAACCAGCAAATCTTGTAGCGTGCCAATTGTGACTTTCGACAAGTATAGGCCATGAATTCATGTGCTCTTTAGGGGTCTTATCAGTTCGATTGGCCTTTCGGAAGGCCCGGCTACTCCAAGGTTTCGGGGTATTCTGCTGTAGTAACTTTGCTCGCTTCTTGCGACTTGCCGGGTTGGGCATTTTCTCGAAAGCTGCACTCCAGCTACATAATATTCCTGAATTTGTTCCGTAGAATTTGACAAGGCCCTAGACCTGTGTGATATGTTTGGAAGAAGGCCCCAAGCATCCAAGCAGATTGACACTTTCATCACTTTCACCAGTTGCACTTTCGGTCCACCATGTCCCCCCTGGCGGGACTTGCTGGAAGTGGTGCCTTTCACCACACCCCTTGGATTTCTTTACGTGGAAATCTGCGGTTTCAGCTTGGCGATGCCACTGGTACCAGATAGGTGTGCACCGGAGTCAGTTGGCCCTGTGAGACCCGCTGGTTGAAACTCAGCTCCAGGGTTCCGGGTTGGCTGACGCGTCCGGTTTGTAGAAATGGCCAGGCCACAAAATGGCCGAAAAAAATTAATGTATATATTGACAGCAAGGGGCACAGAGCCTGGTGGGTGTGGACATAATATCAAGTATCTTGACCAGGCTCAGGGACTGGCCTGTTCTTGATGTCAGCTTCGCAGCTGGGCTAGCATAGGACTAGCAACGTATCATGTGCTCGCGCCAGGGAGTTTCGTGCCAAGGTCAGAAAGGAATATGGTCATTCTGAGTCATTCTTTTGTAGCACAGGCCCCAAGGCTGTAGCCATAAACTTCGAATTGAATCCCGGCGAGACTGGGGCAAGTGCTGCGCCCTGCTTGGGGGAGCAAATGGATGACACGGGGCCGGTCTTGACAGGGTCGAATGCCCGAACAAATGGTTTCAGTCAAAATTGTTTGTTGTGAAGCTGCGCGTCATCCCTTTGCCAATCTTTGCCCCATGGTAGATGGACACAAAGATTTAAAGTAGGATTCGCCTTCTCACGCTCCAGTCGAACACATTGTGGAGACTGCAGCGTGGGAAGATGTGCTGCCACAACAGCATGGAACAAAAGGCAGTCAGGTTGGCCTGTGCCAGAGATGTAGTCTTTCTCATACTTATATGCGACGCTTTCTCTTGGTAGAGTTTGGCAAACTTCGTTTTTTTTTGGGTGTTCTCCTGACGGTGTGCTCTGCAGGTTGCTTCCTGTGGCTAGAGTGTTTCGGCAGCGAAGTGAGGGTGCCCATGCGAGAAATTGATCCGTGGGCAGCTTGTTCTCGTGAACACTCAGCTCTTGTGTATGAGCCATGCCGACTCAAGCACCAGATGGTAGTTGATTGCAAGCCTGCAGTGAGTTTGGCAAGATCTCTGTTGAAATGACCGACCATCAAGCGAAAGCTGCCAATTGGTGTATTCACTTGCACTTCTTCCGACCGAACTGTACATAGTAGATAGACGGCTTCCATCGTGTTGCCCAGCAGTCCAGATGGCACAGCATGGGCCAAGCCAGTTGCAGTGAGGTTTTCAAAGCAGAAGCCAGAGTGCCCACCAACCCGATCAAAGAGGCAGTTCCAGCCCTGCAATCAGAACTCAAGGGGGATCCCATTCAATCGGATGAGTGCAACTTGACTGTTTTCGACAGGCACAGTATATACTGTAGTTTTTTCCTTCGCGGAGGTTTTCGCACCAAGAATCCCAATGTGTCAGCATCAGAACCGTTTGAGAGTGCTTTCCACTTACCAAGAGGCCAGATGCTTGTTTGGAGTTGCCAGACTAGGTTTTTAATCTTAAACTTGCAGCTGAGGCAAGGTGGCACCCTCGGTGGCAGAGATCCAGCGTTTGCGGGATGAACTGCAAGCGAAGGAGCGGGCCCTGCAGCTCTTGCGGAAAGACGCCATAGATCAGCAATACCTGCTCCAGCTTTTGGAACGTGACTTGACTTCAACATTGTTTTCTCAAGCACTCTGTTAGCCACAACTTCGACCTTGTCCAACAATCTGACCTCACACAACACAGCTGAGCCCCGTAAATTGAACGGTTCATGCGTTGTGCGGGGCTTGTATTCACAGGAGGCCAATCCCTGTTTCCTGCCCTAGCCCCTCGCCCGCGCTTTTCCTTTGTGTTTTTTTCCTTTGTTTCAAGTGACGTACTGACCCCCATAGCACAAACACAACTGAATGTGACACACTGTGCGGCCACACAACTCCGATTAATTTACCAAAGTCATCCCTTCCAGGCAGCTAAGGTGAGACCTTCCTGAAAGCGGAAGCCTTGCGCGAGCTCCGTGCCGTTGAAGCGTTGAGTGCAGAGATCACTCAGCGGCAGAAAGGCATTCAAAGCTTGAAGGAAGATGCCAAAGGCCAAGAAGAATCGCTGAACCTTTATATATATTTTGGCAATGCAGTTTTGACATTTCTTTGTTTGTTTTCGGTGCGCAGGTTTGTAGCTTCAGTGGGCTGGAGGTCAGCCTTTTGATCAGTAAAGGTCAGAAGCTGCTTGACTCTTTCTGTGCAGTTGTCAATGCCTGTTGGACCGTTTTCGACTGCCTGCAAAGATGCAGTGGATCATGGTAAGAAGGGAACCTTTTGCTACTGTTGCTGCTCTTCCCCCGGCTCTTGCTCATCTGGTAGGGGAATTGGTGTTGACTGTTCTGTTCAACACCCTCGGGAAACTCTTGTTTCACGCCCCCCTTGAGACTCATGGCCGGTACGAACAAACACTTCACCAAATGTCTGTTCGCCTTGTTGATCCTCCACCGACTTATCTGTCTCACTTAGCTCTGCCCGACGGTTCTCCAGTAGAGGGTTTTTAAGTAGGCGTGCAGCAAAAACAGAAGTCCCGCTGAACACAACCAGGACAGAGCTACGCACCGAGGCTGTAGCAAAGGGTGAGATTGTGCAAGATATTCTTGATGGTTTGGCACGTGCTGGCGGCGCAAGCGAGTCTGAGGCTTTTGAGTCACAAGCCAGCCCCACTGGAAGTTCCGCTGCTGTTGCGTTTGCCGCGCAGGCTGCCATCATGCAAGATTCCGACGCTCCAGTACCCTCCAGCGGTGGCACGCGGAGTTCAGTAACTGAAGTGCCGGACCGGCATTTAAGCCAAGATTGTGATGCTTCCAATGGCAGATTTCTGGAGACTCCTGTAGATCAATCCAGCGGTGATTTTGTGCTGACCACAGGCAGCAAAGACGGCTCCGATAAAGTACCGGAGCCACAAGGTAATGACACTTGCCTTTCTTCTGCCATGCCTGTCAGCAGGGAAGGGACCTTGAATGACAATGAACACCACCTGCAAGGAGTTGAATTTGGTGACGCTTTCCTGATACCAGCAGCCAGCAGCAATGAAGCCTCCACTGACAAAGGGCCGGAGCAGCAAGAAAGTCAGGGTCCGGGTAGTGCTTCCGTGATGTTGGCCTGCGGCAAGGGCTTGGATGACGGACAGCCAGCAGACTCAGCAGACAGTGGCAAGAAAGACTGGGATGGCAATGCCAAGGAAGCGCAAGCACCCGAACCAGGATACGCTCCGTCAATGTCAGACAGCAGAACGAACCGCTTGGATGACAATGGCCAAGGGCCCTTGGCGCAAGCAAATGAATCAGGAGGTGCTTCCCTGATGCCTGCTAGCATGGCGGAAGGTTCGAAGGACAAAGTGACGATCCCATTTTTACAAGGTGACCATGGCAGCAGCTCCCAGAGCGCAAGTGTCCAAGACATGCGCCCAGCAGATTCCAGCCCAAAGGGAAACACGGTTCCACAACCCTGGCCAGCACCCCCACCTAGGACTTGAGGTCCGCCTTTCAAAACGGCCAAAACGGCCCACATGAGCCTTGGGCATTTTCAGACTGGGACTGACATTCGGCAACTCTGTTTCACAAGCTGACCGGCACTCGGTGGTCAGAAAAGCCTTTTGCTTGCTGCGAGTTGTTTGAGAAAAACTAATCCGTGAAGCTCCACAAGGTGTTTCCCTTTTGCATTTCAAAGCCCGGGGTTCGGGGTTGTATACTTATGTCGGTTTTAGGGAGTGCCGGGAGCACTTTATATATGGAAGATGACGGCAATCGTGATATATATATATACTTGAGAGTTTGTCCACAAAAAGCACGTCATGGACCGTCTCGGGGTCAGCCTTTTGCTGTCAGGTCGGGATTCGGAGATCCTGGAGATTTGCGAATTTGTGAGAAGGAGCATTGGCCTGTAGTTTTTCAGCGCTGGACGTCAGAAGAGTCATGAAGATGCGCATGTTCTTAGCTACTTGACTTACACCATGTCAGACAGGTAGTTAGACTAGAGAAGTAGAGAAGCTTTTGAAACTGCAAGCTCAGGTTTCAGGTTGCCTTCGCGTAAGGCTTTCGCCACCGCCTCTATTTTGTTTGACAGTGAATTGGGCTCAAGACACAAAAACAACATACAAAACACACATATAAATATAACTATATAACTCAATAAAGTACACTAGGTGACTAATACTAAGTGGTCCTACATGCAAATGCATTCCATTCAGGCTTTACTAGGCAACACTTTGTGGAAGTTGGCTATGGCAAAGTGGTGGGATTTGGACCAAGAGCTCCTTGGAGGGACTGCAGCATTCCGAACTCTTTTGGACATCAAGGACGTTCAAGAATCTATATGCCTGCACTTGAGTTCAAGCTGTTTGCCTGGTCTTCCAGCGTGATTTTGTGAAGACCTGAATCCCAAGGTTCAATTATGTAGAAAGCTTGGCTCCGCTCTCAGTTGGTTTTTTGCTTGGGAGTCTGAAGAATGCGGCACCTTTGTAGGGCACTGGTGGATGCGCATGCAACTAGAGTAACTAGAGGCCGCAGATCGCATTTGGACAAAATTCGTCCCTGAGTCATTTGAATCACCGAGGCTTTAGTTACCATCGTGTTCCTTGAGCTACTGCTTCTCGGCAGTGCTGGAGTGTTCAAGTTTGCAAGACTTTTGTAACTTTAAACTTTAAACTTTAGCATACTATTTCCCAAACAGTGTGGTCACAGTCAAGCGCCGGGCTTGATCGAGGGTGCTCACCGGCAACTGTGGCTATTTCGCTGCCAGTCAATTACAGCACAGTCATGCCTCGAGATGCCGCTTTTGAAGGCAGTCTCGCACGAAAAGCCCGGGTCTGGTTCTTGACTTCGCTCTCGTTGTGGTTCCATCCGCATTTTCGGACTTGGTCACTTCTCGTGGCAGGCGCAGGAGAATCCTCGTGTTTTGGTGGTCTTAAATTTGCCTTTCGCGGCAGGTGCGGGCGACCGGAACTGTTGTACTTCGATGTGCAGATTTCGGTGGTGGTCTTTGGTGTGCTCTGATTTTGTGACAGGTGCTGTGAATCGTGAGCTTCGGACATCCGCTTGCTGCTTGCTCTTGTGCGTGTGCTCCATTTTCTGTGCTCTGTGTGCTCTCACCTGTGTGCCTTCATTAGTGCGTTGTCATATGAATGCTTTCATGTTTGTGCTTTAGCGTGGGGGGGTTCGCTTGTTCATCCTTGTTTTGTTCTACTTAGTACTTAGGGCTGTTCGGGGCGTTTTTCCGGGATGACAATCTAGGGAGGTCTGACCTTCGCGCTCATTGCTCAGAAACTGTATGAGGTTTGATGGTGCTTGGCATGTCCTGTCCAGACCAGCGCCCTGGACGACAATGGTAATGAGACGAGATGTAATGCTGGTGGGCCAAATTTGACAAAAGTACTTGCAAGGTTGCATTGGAAGGCTGAAACAAGGCCGACAAGCTGCGGTGACGGCATTGTTTTGTTTGCCTTGGATAATGCCCTAGAAGGCTGGAGAAAGCGGTATGGTATGTCACTTAAGCGCACGGGACAGCTCTACAAACACGGCACGGAGAAGGGGGAAACAGGAGCAACTTTGTAGCCACGTAGCCTTCTTGATGGGGGTTGTTCGCGCTACCAGAGACAACGACAACCTACCACTTCAACCCATGCCCCAAGCAAACTGGATTCTGAATGTCGAGCAAAGAGGCCAAGGCAGGTTGTAAGCGAACCCTATCAGCCCTATCATCAACAGACCTGTTATGTGCAGCGCATAGTTGCGGAATAGCCCTCGCAGCCTTGCTTGGTTTGAATAACACTTTCGGATACTTGTGATTCATTCGGGAATAACATGCGACTAACCTTGGACAATCGGGTGTTGGCATGCAATCATTCAGTAACAGTAACACTTTCTTTAGTGACTACCCTGCTCAAACCGAACATTTTCAAAGGCTGCGTGCCAAACGACATGTGCTCCAAACAAAGGCCTCCAAGTCTTACTACTACGGGCGTTTGCATGAAGACGCCTTTGACAAAGCTGAGCTGCTTGTCCAGGTTTTCTGTTTGCTCTCTTTGTTTAGATTCATTTATGAACTTGAGTCAGCGGATTGACTGGGATTCAGATTGTGCCAAAGAAGTTCTATTCTGCATCGCCCAGAGTCCTGTAGCTGAATCAATACGAATCTGTGACTAGATCATTGGCATTGGCTTAACACAGCGCAACTTGAGAAGTGCATTTCGAATGCCACAGCTGTGTGTGGCCCGATGAGAGTCGCGTGCCAGGGAAATGCACATGTGAGAAAAGAGACCTGGTGCATCCTGGTGCCAGAATCAGTCCTTTATTTATCCAAAAGCTTTAGTTTATGACACATTGCCTCCACAATCCCCCCCTGCTTGCCAGAAGTGCGCCAAGAAAGTACAGTCCGTGCGCAAGGTCCGGGGTGGTGGTTCAGACAGTCTCGCACGCCCAGCTATACAAGGACCATGAGATTTGTTCAATCCGAAAGCCAACTTAAATCTTTATACCTAAGAACAAACTCGAGCCAGCCAGGCACGAAGGTTAACTTCGAGTTTGTGGTGAGAAATTGTTCGCTTTTTGGAGTTCATTTTTGATTGGTTGAACCCTTTGTGGACCTGGGTGCACGTTGAAGGTTTCTTATGGTTTCTTGTGTGTGGGACCTTGGGGCATTTTTTGTTCAACACATGTCACCACCTTCAGTCACAGCAGTGTACCCGTTCAGGTCGTTGGGGTGTGCTGCACACTGCCGTGGTGATTCTTGTGGTTACTGTTTGCTCGCTCGCCTCCCTAAATGTGGAGTGTTCAGATTGGTCTCCATACAAGGAGTCCATAGATATATGATATATGATTTATATATATATATAAATATATTTTTTGTTGGTCCGGCTCTTTTCCGCAGTGGAAGTTTGAAAGTTCGAAAGCTGGTCTCATGCCAGCCATGATCGGATGTCAACTGAACGTGGCTTCGAACACGGTCCGCGAAGTTTGGTCGTGAGCGTGATCTGGCCGTTGTTGAACCTGGTTCGAAGGTGGCACTTCTGGCACTCCAGGAGGTTGCCCATTCTTGTCATCTCATGAGTCGGATGACCCTGCCAAAGAGAGGGATCGAGAGGTCCGTGGTGGCAGACTTCACCCAGGAACCGATGGAAGATCTCCTCTCCAGCTTTTGCCAGCACGTAATTGTTGCAGAGGGTGCAACGGAGGTATGCCTTATCAAGCTTGAGGTGGTGGCTACCTGGCTGGACTTCTCCCTGAGCTTCCAGGAGATCATGTATGACCTCGAACCTGGTCTTCTTCGAGGAACCCCCGGGCACTGCATGAGTGCATGTGCTGCTCAGCCCGTCCTTGATCTCCTTGATCATGGATTTGGAGTGGTAGCGCTGTTTGCAGTGACTGCATTGGACTCCGGAGCGGAAGGACGCCCACTGGCATCTGGCTGTGCCAGGAATTGCTCGAGCAGACCCTTCGTCTGCTGGAGAAGAGGCACCTTGTTCTTCTCTTCCTGGATCTCCTTCTTGTGAAGGAAATGGGCCTTGTCTTTGAGCAGAAGCTCCATGGGTTTGGCTGCAACATGCAAGACATCTCTAGTGTCTTCGTCGATGTGGCGTTGAAGGTCCACGATTTCTTCAGGTCTGGCAATGAGTGCTGCCTGAGTGGCTTTGGCCTGAGTGTCCTGCTGGAAGGCCTTGCGATTGAGGTTGGAATCCATCTCCTTGGTCTGGAAGAGCAGGAGTTTGATCTGAGCAAAGTCCTCTTGCTCCAAGTGTTGGCTGAGATCTGGGAATTGTTCATAGGCTGCCCACGGATTCCATGCGTGCCAGATGGCCTGATTGTGGACTTTGTCCCGGAGGTGGAGGGACATGTGCTTGAGGCTCAGGCAAATCTTTTATGCCTGGGGTCTCGGCAGGTGGGAGCTATGGCCAAAGAGACGGCATGGCCTGCCGGCAGAGCGCAAGCTTCCAATGACTCCCAGAGTCCTTCACCATTGAAAGTAGCCATGCTCCTGGATGTAGAAGATGGATTGGGTCATGCCTCTGTTCCACAGCTCTGGCTCAGTCCCTGCATTGAGACGCTCGATCCATTGTGTTGGAAGTGAGGGAACCTTGCCCTCCCAGAAGGTGCACTCCCAAAGAAGATGGATGAAGGTGAGGTCAACATCACATAGTGGGCATTTGCCTTCTTGGCCATGGAAGGTACCTTGATGGAAAGCTCGGAGAGCAGTGTTGATGCGCTCAGTGGAGATCTTCTGAAGCGTGTTGCCGACTGTCCAATCCAATGGCCTTTCCAGGTCGTGGCAACCATGGTGGCGTGTCAATCTGAGGAGACGTTGCCAGCGGAATTCTTCCATGAGCTTCTGTTAAATTTCCGGCCATCCCGCTGTGAGGCTGAGGTGACAGTCAGGGATACCTCCATAGCCCGTTCGTTTCCACAGCTTGCCATTGGAGATGTCAAAGAGGCAGGCCTGGAGGGGGGCCTGCAGAGGGCCTGTCACCACCTGCCATCGATATTTGGCTTTGAGCAGAGCAGGTGTTGAGCTTTCGTCAAAGGCGTGGAACACCTTCCAGACTGTGTGGATGTGCTGGAGGATGATGGAATCTCGAGTCTGGCTTGTTGGGATGCATGTCGAAGATGACATCAACTGAGCCGGAGTGCTGAAGGCGCAGACCCCTGGCCGCCATCACTCTGATTTGCTGCCTTCGTTGAGGAGCTGGCCTGCGCTCCCCAGGTCGTGACCGGATGTTTGGCGCCTCGATGCAACCTGTATTTGGTGCTTGGGTTCAACTTGAGGCGCATTATGATTCCTGCTCTGCCTCTTCCCTTGAGGTGCATCGATGCCCAAGTCACGGAGGACATTGTGATGCTGAGGGTCTCCTGCTGTCCAAAGCCTTTGCTGCTTCCTTGCTGCTGGTGATGAAGCCAGTCTTGTCGGAGTTGATCTTGAGGCCAGATGCTTCGAGGTGCCTTTTGAGCGTACGGAAGGCCAAGACAGCTTCTCGCGCCACATAGTCAGTGTCTCTTCCTTTCATGTTGAAAGAGACATCGTCCACCCAAGTTTGCAACTGGACTGCAGGATGTTCTTGCACCAAGGCTCGAAGACCTGAAGAGGACCAGTTTGGCCACTGCGGGTGCCTAGGGCACCCTTGGAGAATGCCCTTCTCATACTCCTCATAGTACTTGGGGTTGCCTGCACTGCCCTCTGCTTGGATCAGTCTGGGACCAGTGTAGAGGCCCAGGGCCAGCTTCAAGTGCAGCGGCGGATAGTGCAGCTCAACTGCAGGCTCAATGAGATGGTCCAGTTGGACGGTGTCGTAGGAGCAAGTGAGATCTGCCAGGCAGGACACAGTGTGAATGCCCTGATGCTTGCCAATCTCTGCCTTGAGCATTCGTCCAACCGCTATGGAGAGACAGTCTTTGTGTGGCCTCGCGTGATCCCAAGGCATGTTCTGATCGAGACTGAGTTGCCACCTGTGGAGTTCGTGCTTCCTGTAGGAGTTCCAGAGGCGGTAGACGCAGGAGGTGAGTGCAATGGGCCTCTCAATGCGCTCATTCTTGGGGATCATGACAATGTTCGTGTGTCGTATTTGAGTAGGGAGCTCTCCAGTTCTCTCCATCTCAGTGAGGAGCGCCGCAAGGCGGGAGACCGCAGGGTAGGGCAGGCGACGAAGGAAGTCATAGGCGATCCCGTCCGGCCCCGCTGCTTTGTTGGGGAGCTTCCTCATCAGTTTACCAAGCAAGGCAGTGTGGGCCGCTGCTGCCTGTGCTAATCTTCGAAATTCCTGCAGACCCCTTGGTGTGACATGGTTCTTGCACTGGGCATCATATTTGCCCCCGTTGTTGTTCCCGAGCTTGTATCCTCTGGGTGTGAGGAATGTCCTGGAAGGGTCTTTGCCAGCAATGATCCTTTTGCCGGAGACTGCGGAAAAGACCACGTAGACCTTTGTCATGAGCCTTCTCCAGCCATTCTCTGAACTCATGGTTGGTGGAGCTGAGGAGTTGCTGCTGTGCCAGTTGTTGCTCTTGATGGACGATCTGTTGAAGGTCTGCATGGTCTGAGGCAGCTCCAAAGGTCCATTGAGTGATCTGCTCTGCAAAGTGCCGCTGATCCAGTTCTTTGGAGGCATGTTGAGGTAGGCGTTCGAGCATCTGACGGAGGTCGCGCAGCACTCCAGGATGCCTCTTGTGCTGGGCTACGTCGATTCTGAACCCCATCTTTCCCCAGAAGGCTGCGCTTCCTTTCTTCCAAACTTGAGGCTTGGAGGCATTGATCAAAGGAGCTTGGTAGAGCATGATTTTGGATCCTCTGCCAGTGATCGGTTACTGCAAGGTCTGAGAGAGGTACTTCTCGGTCTGGGTGGCCCATCTGGCTAGATCCTATCCCAGGCCTGTGATGGCCTGACCCATGATTTCAAAAGGCCCATCATCCTCGTGGAAGGAAGTCCAAGTGTTTGGTAGCTGGTAGACCCTTGCTATTGGTGGAAACCGTTGGAGCTGTTGCACACACGTCCATGACCTGGGGCACAGCTAACTCAGGCTCAAGTTTGAGCCATCCTTTTCCCACTTTGGGCCATGGACCTTGCCGACGACCTACGGGCTCTCTCAAAGTCCTTGGCGGGGCAATGTTGCACAGAACTTTGGTGACATCCGATCAGGCGGACACTGAGGCACCGAGCTCCTCTACATCAGAGCAGCTCCCCCGGGAGCCTGCTGTTTTCGGGACCTCAGCTGTTCAAGCCTTGACACAGATGCTCAATCTAGAAGATGAAGAGGACATGAACATGTCCTTTGAACAGCAGACACTCTTCGACCTCTGTCTACAAGACCTGACCAACTCGAGTCAGGCCTATGGCAGACAACGCAATCTACGCAATGGGCAACAGTTGCTCATGGATCTCAAGCGCATGCAGAATCTGGCCCACAAACACCTCAGTGTACCAGGAGAAGCCGAACACTCAGTAGCCAACATCTTTGTGATCTCTCAATGTCTCACCAGCATCCTCAAGGACTTCAAGAACCTCTCTTTCGGCAATGCTCCATGGAGATGCTGGTGCTGGGCAGGGGCTTTTGCAGAAGAAGCCGCACAAGCTTGGGGGAGAACTCACCAAGCGGTTAGACAATACCTTCCAGACAGTGAACCACAAATCCTCGCGGGCTTGCGCGACATGCAGCATGTCTGTCCTCACTTCGAGGATGAAGCTCAGGCTGACGCAGCGGATTTCCTGCACTCTCTTTGGACCTTTGCTGCAGGAACCTTCTTTGAAGGCCGGTTCTTGCACCGGAGCGTGAAGGGCCATCTGGAGGAAAGGGAGCAGTTTCCCCTCAACTTAATCTTTCCTGACGCAGCCCACAGCAGATGTTGATTCCCTCATCAATGATTGGGCTGAGGAAGGGCGCGGGTAATATCTCTACGGGCCCCTGGTGGACTGGTGCTCAACCTTCAAAGATTGACCATGCAGAATGGCC